TTATTTTTTATATTAGAAATAAAAAATAAAAATTAAATAAAAATATAAAATCAAATAAAAATCACGTTTCTAATTCTATTAGTAAAATTATATTTATATGTACTCCATTAACCATTCAGTAAACTCTGCAAGAGTGTAGGAGGGGGAGAATCCTTTGTATCAAATGAAATTTTTGAGTAAATCTGTCCGTAATATTTTTCTGTAAAAAGTTAGAGTAATAGAAACATGCATTATAAACTCTTTAAGGATAGCCTATTTTAGATTTGAAAAACTTATGTAAAAACAATGAAGCTAAAAAATTATTGCGTCAACTAGAAGGACCCAAAACACGTAAAAACGCTGATGTAAATTTATTATTTTCTTAATACATTATAAAATTCTATTAAATTAAGAGTCATTCTTCCCCTCATTATAATTCTACAAACAACGATGAATTAGAGTGCAGAGTTACCGGTAATTATACTGTTAAATTATACCCCCAATAGTGTATAAAACTCAGTTTAGGGAACGTTTTTTAGAAGTGGTTAGCCACTGATTGTGAGATAGCCCTATAAGCAACAATACCTCCACTTTAATTATTTTAGTTACTAAATTTTTAGAATATTTTTTCATCCACGAGAGATTATACTGTCAACAGGCTGTATTTTTATTAAATTTTAAATTAAGATGAAAAGATGTCTGTATATGTAGAAAATTTTGAAAATTTTTACAATAAAATATCAGACCCAGAAATAAGTAGTATGTTGGTAGAGGCTGATGCCAAATATTGTTATTTAAAAATGGGAATTTACAAAATGATTGAAGTAAGTATTTTATTAAAATTTTGCGTAAAAATGGAATATTTTCAAATATTTTTTATTAAAATTTCTATTATTATCCCCCAAATAATCGAAAATTTAAATAATCCGTTTTTCTTTAAAAATTGATAAATTGAAGGATATAAACGAAGATCCTCCCGAATTAATTAAATTAAAAGAAGAATGGATAGAAATTGAGGAGAAACTACAAAATGAAAATTTACAATCAGAGGAAAGTATTAAGAATAAAATAAAAATAATCTCCGATTTTTTCTACGAAAAAGTTTTGTCAAACAATGAATTGAAATCTACTGAATGGTGGAAGGAACACGTGAAAGCAACAATTGTAAAACTATTAAAATGACGTAGTTTCTTTAATGGAACCACCGGTGGTTCTATTTTTCAATCCCTCTATTTGGGGTGGTTATATTAGAGATAGAGGTCGGCAAAATCGTGTTTGCGGGATCCCGCGGGATAAAATTTTTTTAAAAATCTTTGCGGGACGGGATCCCGCGGGATAAATCCCGCAAAATCCCGCATTCCCGCAAAATCCCGCATTTTAAATTTGCGGGATCCCGCGCGGGATTGCGGGATTTTTCAAAAATCCCTAAAATGATCAATCTCAATTGAAAAAAAAAGAAAATTTAATAAATATATTAAAAGTTTAACAAATAATTACGTTTAACCAGTGGATCTGAGGGGATTAAAGGAGCTAACGAGGGATTTAGCGTGAATAATGGGGATATCGGTAGGTTTGGAGGGATATCAAGGGCTTAGGGTGCCAAAGTTTTCTTGAGCCAAAATCATAAGGGACATGTATACGAGTTCGATTATACGAGTTAAAATAGCTTGAGCTGAAACAGCTGGGATCAATCATCGTGATCTAACAATTTGTCAATTTTGTTTTGATGAAATAGTGATGATTCCTTGAGCGACAGCCGAAATTTTTGGAAGGCCAAGTATCAATATTCCTTCCTTCTTCAGCGCCGCAGGCAAAAATTTCGAGATTTTAGGAAGGCCAGCGAGCTAAAATTCTCCTTTTTCTTGCGCCGCAGGCGAAATTTTTTTGAGTTTAGAAGGTTAGGAGCCAAAATCCTCCATTTTCCAAAAATCCCGCAAAATTCAAAATATTTTGCGGGATCCCGCGGGATGAAATTTTTTTTAAAACCTTTGCGGGACGGGATCCCGCGGGATAAATCCCGCAAAATCCCGCATTCCCGCAAAATCCCGCAAATCGAAAAAAGTGCGGGATTGCGGGACGGGATCCCGCAAAATCCCGCGCGGGATCCCGTCCCGCGCCGACCTCTAATTAGAGACGATGGTTCTAATAGAGAAAATACGGTATATTAAACATTCGGGTCTCAATTTTAAATAAAAATTTTTAATGATTCTAATTTTTGATTTACCGTATTTTCTCGATTAATTCCCCTCCCTCGAATAATTCCCCCTCTCGATTAATTCCCCCTGTCAGAGATAGGTTGAAACAATAATTCCCCTCCCTCGAATAATTCCCCTCCCTCAAAACTCGAATAATTCCCCCCTCTCAAAAGAATTACCACTTTTATTTTTCTTCTCCTTTTTCCCCTCTCCTAAAAAAGTAGACATGGATCAAAGTAGTATTTAACAGCTGAAATATCAAGGTATAGGATTTAAGGATAACAGAGTATTAGAGGATAGCAATGGATTTGAACGTAATCAGGAAATATCAGAGGATTGAAGGGATATCAAGAGATATATTTGAAGAGGTCGGAATTTAATTCAAAATAGTGGGATAATGGGATAGTACAGAAAATAATATATAAAGTAGGTAAGTATATATGGTTCCATACTTGGTGATATAATATATATCCCTTAGTATCGTATCATACAATGACCCATCATGTGGTACTATAGTCTTTATATACACATTTTTGAGTACATAAAGAACTAAGTAAACACATGCAAGTTATATGGATGCATGATAGGGAATATAATGAAATAGTAGATAAATAAAAAAAGAAAAAGAATGCCAAAACTTCATACTTTTTAAATTTAGGAATGCGTTGAAACAATAATTCCCCTCCCTCGAATAATTCCCCTCCCTCGATTAATTCCCCCTGCCAGAGATAGGTTGAAAAAATAATTCCCCAGGGGAATTAATCGAGAAAATACGGTAATTCGAATTTTTGTAGAATAAAATGCCCAAAATATTTGATGAGGAAATGCTTACTTCATTTGAGAAAATACTAGAAACAAAAAATAAACTAAATGAACTAAATGTAATTTTTATAAATTATTTAAACTTAAATCTTATTTATTAAAAAATTACATTAAGGTCAGTCAAAATATTTTGTTTTACTACCTCGATTGGCTTATTCGAAAATCGAAAAAAATTGGTGATATTATGGAAAATTCAAAAAGAGAAAATCGAATGGGGCAATTAATCCAAATTTTAAATAATGAAAATTTGGTTAAATTGGAAGAGAAGTTTCCGTCAATTTTACATTTTGGTTAGTCTTTATTAGGGGATTGTTTAAGAGGAATGATTAAAGAATGGATTAAACACTTCAAAAAATATTAAAAACAATAATAACAGATTTAGGGTTGAAGGCCCGGTTCGGTTCGAAAGATCAAACTCGACCGGTCCTGTTCGATAAAAATGTGACGCGAAAAAATGACTCGAACGTCGGCCCGATTCGAAACCACAACCCTAAACAGATCGAATACTCGATCATTCCTCTTTCTCTAAACTATATTTTATACAATTTAATAAAAGAATTTTTTGATTATTTTAGAAGAAATGTTGGAGGAAACTCGTTTTTATCTTTACCAAAAATTTTCTTCTCCAAAACTTGGCCCTAAAGAATCGGAAGAAGTAGAACTACGTATGGTTATCCCTCTTATGCTAAATAAGCTAATTATAAGGCTAACAAATATCGAAGAAATTAATCCACATAAATTTTTAGAAGTAAGATTTTAAAATTAAAAAAAAACTTTTAAAATTAAATTGTTTGGGATAAATGGAGAATTACCGTATTTCCTCTATTAGAATGCCATGGCATCCTATTTTTCAAAAACCTTCAAAGGTGGCACATTCAATAAGAGTGTGGCATTTTAATAGAGGAAATATGGTAACTATTTCGTTAATAGATAAATAATATTAGGTAGGTGGAAATTAGACCTTGCCTCTGAGGCTATGAAATTAGGTAATAATTCCTTTTAAAATAGGAGGAAATAAGAAGTTGTGTGTTGGCTAGATTATTAGGCAATAAATGTCCAGATTCAAACTATGGAAATAAAATTGTCCTAAATATTCATTTCAGATTGAAAATCGGATTGAAACATTTAAGAATTGCATTATTAATGTCAAACCAAATGAAAAAATTTGTACACCCCGTGCTGTATGTTTAATCCTCAATTTTTCAGAATTAATTGCAAATGTTGAAAAAAAGTAATTTTAAATTTTAAATATTTATTTGATTTCTTTTTAAATTTTTTAGAGGTTCAGAAAGGGATTTGAATAAACTTTTAAATTGGAAACATGAAAAAATATGTAATGAAGAACACCAAATTAACGAGGCTTTAGTACAAATGAGAGAAATAATGAAAGAAGAACATTCAAAGTTTATACTTAAATATGCTAATGTGTTTAAAAATACGATTGGATTAATTCCTGGAAGTTCTACAAAAATGGAAAAATTTATTCAAAATTATAAATTTATACCTTCATTACAACACGATGAATGTAAAATAATTTACCTATAATTGAGATTATAGACTAACTCGGGTCTAATATTCTGAGGGCTCATAGACTGATTAGACTGTCATTATCCATTTTATTTCTTTATTTTATTCTCCATATAAGGATGGGTACAATAATAAGGGACAGAAATGGCTAGGCCAAATCTGATAATGAGGAGAAGCTGGGGTATTTATAGAGACAATTTAAGGGTCAAGATATAAACAGAAAGTGAATAACAAAAATAAGATAAGAGTCGAAAATTGGATGATAAAGTCGGGGGAGCTTTGTAATTAGAAAAGGTCAACTCTATATTTGCATATGAAAATGCAAATTGTTTATTTGACTAAGCGAATGGAGCAAATTTAAAAAATTTTTTTCTAAATAATTTTTCTAAAAATAATAATTTTAAGTATTTTATGATGATTTTATTGCTAAAGAGCAATGCTTCAATGTGTTAATTAAAAGAAAAGACAAACAATTAAGTATTGCTAGTCTAATAGCTTTTAGAATGATTTTGTGGGCTCGTTGGATGAATAAATTATTAGAAGTAAAAGAGAATTTAGATAATGAAGGATTGTCTAGAGCACATTTAAATAAAGTTTGGATAAATAGGAGATTGTTTTTACAAAGCAAATTTGATGAATTATTTGTGATGGATATTTCAAGTTTGGAGCAGAAAGAGAAGGAGATGGCGCTGATGCAGGTGTTTTTAAACGAAGATTTGGAAGGGGGATCTTTAGAAGAGGATCTATGTAATCTTATCATTTTGTATCATAGTTAAATTGTCTCACTTTTAACTAGAGTAGGTCCTCGCCCATTTCTAACCTTCGACCTCGATTTTGCTGTCCTCCGGTCTCGGTCCTCGCCATGAACTTTTCCAGCCTGGGTGATCCTCGATCTCGGTTTTTTAAAAAACCTCGACCTCGACCTACTCTGCTTTAACTATCCCATTGTTTACCTAGCTAGTCCTTCCAATACTTTCATAATTTTTGGACATAATTTTGTCTCTTTATTTATAGCTTAGGATTTAAAGTAGGTTCAGGCCAAAGATTTATTAATGTGCAATTATTCATAAATTTTAGGCCGAACTAAACGAATTTGTGCTTGAACAGCTTGATAAATATATTGCGGTTGGAATATCAAACAAAGTTGAAGAAGAGTGGAGAAAAATAGAATCACGCAACTATGAGATTGAAGGGAATTTGGAAAAATATATTCGACACATTAATTGGATTAAGGGGAAAATTACAGATTTTATTCTAAAATCATTATTGGAGCCTGATAAACCAGATATAACTAAATCTGAGAAGGACCAAATTTTAGAAATAAGAGTGAATTTGTCAGTTGGTAAGTATACCTATATGTATTTTAAAAGTTAGGGTAAATTTAATATTTATATTGACAGAAAAAGCTCTTTAATGGAAAATTTATTCATAGAAAAAAGATTTATATTTTTCGAAAATTCCATTTATGTTGAAGTTTAAACTTTTCATTTACAAGGTAACGGATAATTCTGATTCATGCGGATGTATATCAGAAACACTAATAGAATTTTACTCCCAGCCAAGCTAAAAATATATGTATGTAGATCTTTTTCCTGGGGATTTTTCCACCAACATAAATAAAAATTTTTACTAAAAAATTATGGTTGCAGACATTTTCGCTTAAATATTGAAAATTTTGAAATAATTAAAAAATTTAATCGAGCCGGTTTCTCTATATTTGATAAAAATTAAGAATTATCAAACTATCCAGAGGCAAAAGAAGCATTAAGAGATTTTGTTGGCTATTCTGGGATTGTTAGAATGATTACCGAGTTTGGATGGAGAACGAATGTTGAGAACTTTGGGATAAATAGTGAAGAACTTAATGAAGTAGTAGAAAAGGAACAGAAGGATCAGGTAGATCCGGATGAGCAAAGAAAAAATAAAAAGGCAAGGGAAGCTTCTGATATATCATCAGAAACTTCACAAGGATCTAGTGATATAAAATCAAAAAGAAAAAATAAATTAAGTAAACAAGTGAAACCAAAAAAAGTATTTTTGGGAGAATCTAAACATGATAGTGTTAAAAAACAATTGAAAAAAGAAAAACTTTTGCGGAAACGAAGTTTTTTGGAAAGAATTAAATCTCAAAAAGAGCAACAGGGAGATTCGGGTTAATTTTATTTTGGGGTTATTTAAATGTTTTTCCTTTTGATTAATTAAATCAGCCACAAAATTCCCTCATTGTGCCATTTTAGGATATATTTACCTATATACTTTTGGCACTCCTGGCTATCGTGGGATTCAGAAGCTTGATTGTATACTGATTAAGAGCTTTACAGATAACTTAACACCGTCACGTGTATCGAACCTGAATTTCCTAATATCCGCTAATCACTCATCATATTTCATAATCAATCAAATTAAATTATAGATAAAACTAACGAAAAAAAATCTGCATTTTACGATGAAAATTTCCACAAAGAAATACAAAAGTATTCTACAAATGAAAAATTCAAAAAAGATTATTTTGAGCCAATATTAAATAAAATAGAAGATACTTTAGATTTGGCAAAAGATTTAGTTAATTATGAAAATAAGGAGGAGAGGAAGTGGATTAATGAAATTAAAGATAAATGGGACGGTAAAAAGATGCAAATTTTATCAAACAATGAAAAGAAGTTGACTTTAATAAAGGAAAATTTAAAAGGATTTTTAAATAAAGTTAAAGAAGAAATTAAAGAAAATTTATTGGTAAGTCTTATAAAACATATAAAAATTTAGTGACTACCAGAGGTGAACAGAAATGACGAAGGTGTCGGAAATCGGAACTGTCGGAAATCGTAAATGGCGCAAAAGTCGAAACTCGGAACTCGGAAATCAAAATTTTTTTCGGATATTTGATTGGGGACTATAAAGATATTTTTACAGCTTCGAAGAGTGCTACGAGAATATGATTCGGATTTATTAACTCACAAGCACATTAAATGGCCTCGTTTACAAAAAGCAAAAAGAGAAATGAAAGAATTAATTAAAAATTGGGTAAATTTAAAAATTAAATTCTCATATTTTCTCAAAAATTAAGATCCCTTTTTCTCATCAAAATAATGAAAAAGATCCTCCAAATGACAGCCCAAAATTTATATTGTCTGGATCACACCGTTTAGGCGCTGCAACAATAAATTCTGACATAGATGGAGTTATTTTAGTTGCTCGTAAAGGTTATTGGCCTACACAATTTGAAAATGATTTTTTTGGAAATTTTGAATGTATTTCGAAAAAATGTTTAGATAGAGAGAATGTTTCGAAGGAGGAAGAAGATTTGAATGAAATTAAGGATTATTCCCTTTTTTGTAAATTATGTGAGGTATTTAATTTTAGTTAAATTAAATTTAAAATTCTTCTGAAATAGGGTTGGGTGGGATCTGGATCTCAGCATAAAATCGGGATCGGGATTTTGGAATAATGATCCCTATCCCAGTCCCAACTGCGGAATCGAGATTGGCCGAAACCAGGATCGGGATTTGTCTTTCGGTCTTGCGATCAAAAAAACCGGGATAATCCCGCCCGATCCCGAACGGGATCCCGATCCCGCCCAACTCTATTCTTAAATATTAAAGAATCCTCAAGTCGAAAATTTGAGAAGAATTTATGGGCGAGCTCCAATAATTGGATTGAAATTTGCCGGTTTTGAATTTGACCTTTCTTTTGTAACGCTTGAAGAAGAATTGTTAAATAAATTTTTTAAAGAAGAGAATTCTTTAACTGTGAAACAATTGGATGAAGTTATTGAAAAGTTTAGGGAGGAAATGCCAAATATTTATTTTGAAGCCAATAATGAAACGATAATTAGGTTGAGGTTAAATACACTTTTAGGAATGATTTATGCACTTTCTGGTAGTTTTTTTGTGAATTTGAATAAGATAAAAAAGGACTTTTCTTTAGGAGTACGATCAACTTTACGTTTTGTTGAATTGCTTGATAAAAATATAAATAAATTTCGACTAGCATATATTACAGTAAAATTGTGGGCAAAAAGTAAGAATAATTATTTATTATGACAATGTTACTTACTTATAATCAGTGTTTGGAATTTTGAAAATTGCTCGTACTCGTACTTTCGTACAGGCCTTTTCCTCGTACTCGTACTTGCCTAATTTTTTCGTACTCGTACTCGTACACAGGTACGAGGACGAATTTTGGTATGAGCTTCCAAAACTGCTTATAACTACCGTATTTCATATATTAGAATGCCATAGCATTCTATTTTTCAATCACTTTCAAAAGAGGCATTCTAATAGAGGAAATAGGGTAATTCAAAATAATATTTTGAAATTTTAATTTACAATAATATTTCTGTATTATTTCCGAAAATATTGTAATTTTAGGAATTTATAATACATATTAAAATTCCGGAAATATTTTTTTGCAAATATTCCCAAAAATATTATTAAAGTTCATAATTAATAACTCATTAAATTCTCATTAAAAGATCATTATATCTATGGCGGCAAATTTGGATTTTTAAATGGTTCTTCACTTGCTGTGCTCGTTAGCAAATTTGTTTTGGAAAATTCAAATAAATCTTTAATAACAATAATTATGGAATTATTTAAATATTTAGTTAATTATTGGTTTAAAATTGAATTGGGTGAAGAAAAAATAATTTTTGTTGAAGCCCCAAAGGGTTATGAAAATACGAGAAAAATTGTTGATTGGAATTTGGATAAAGAGAGGAAACAACGTGAAGAACATTTTAAAAGTTTATTGAAAGAAGGATATGAAAAACATTCAAAAATTTTATGGCCAATTATTTTGCCGGGGTTTCCTACACAAAATACTGGATTTAACATTAATGGAAGTACAGATTTAATCATTAAAGAGGAAATAAAGGGAGGGTTTGATAAATTTAGAAGACTTGAGGAACAATTTAAAAACTTATTGGAAAACAAGAGTATCAATGATTCTGAACAAATATGGAAAGATTGGCTAAATGGAGGAAAGTTTAGTGATAAATATGATAATTATCTGGCAATTATTTGTTTACATACAGAACTAAGCTTTTATGGACCTCAGTTTTGTGAATTTACTGAAACCCGTATTCGACTTGCACTTTTATCAATTGTTGAATATCACAATCCGAACATTGAATATTGCCATGTATCCCCAACAAAATATTTGGACAATAAACCTTGCCCTAAAGAATTCGTTGAAAAAAGATTTTTAGATTGGATTTGTAATGTTTGGATTGTTGGAATTAAAGGAGGAAATGTTGCTGAAATTAATGAAACGCTTAGTAAAAATATTTTTAGAGATTTTAACAAATTGGGACGAAGAAAGAAGTTGAGACTGAGTGATAAGAAAAAATTTAGATTGGAGACTAAGTTTTTTGTGAAAGATGAATTGAAGAAGATTGAAGAAGATGTTCTTTATGGGAATTGAAGGGACGGGAATTGAAGGGACGGGAATTGAAGGAAGGGTTATTTTTGATTTTTGTTGTTAATTACCTCGAAATTTATAATTATTTTAAAGAGCTCTTCTAATTAGAGACCGAGAATGACTGCTATTTAAAAATTATAACAGAAATATATTTAAAATTAATCAAGGCAACATCTCGGTCTTGAACGATTCCTTAATTTTTAAAAATCAAATTTTAAATTAATCGAAGATTCTATTTTTTATTTATTTTTGAGAAGAGTATAAAATTTATGAAATAACTACAGAGTTACGTTTATTTACATAGTTTATTCCAAACTATTCTTTAGAAATAAGAGAATTATAGTATATTCTTTGGTAAGAATCATCACCAAATGTCAGTTTTTTAACTCTAGGATGATTAATCTCGTGTCTTTAATCAAAATATTTCTTAAGTCTATAAACCAGCTTAATAATTATGTTACTTAATCAATTTTTAATTAATGGTAAGTTGGGCGGAGGTAACATGGAAAACCAATAATACCTCGAGCTACGGACGTTGGGTAATAATCCGTTAGTGAAGAGATAATAGGATTATAAAGGAAATAGGGCTACAGGGGTTTAGTAGTAATGTTATAAGTTTGTTTCTACCTTTCTTATTATTTAATATCAAAGGATATGTTTATTAAAATTTATTTGGATTTTTCGATTTTTAATAAAAATTTTATGAGAGGGTGATAATAAAAAAATAAATAACAACATAACAAAATAAATAAAAATTAAATAATTTATTAGAAATTCGTCGTTTAATTAAATTCTTTGTCTTGATTTTAATTGAATAGTAATTGTTTCTGGGTTCAGAACAACTTGGCCAGAAAAATTCAATTCAATCTGAATTATTGATCTTATTTCTGATTCTACAAATTTTAAGGGTTACCTCAGTCTTCCAACACCTTTTTAATTCAAAAGAACGTAATAAATGAACTAAAACCATTTTAATTTCCATCATTCCCAACTTCATTCCAATACAAATTCTAGGCCCTCCCCCAAAAGGATAATAATATTCTGTAGGTGTATTTATATTCTCATTTAATAACCATCTTTCCGGTTTAAATTCTTCAGCATCTTCTCCCCAAATTTTTTTATCCCGATGTAAAGTGAATAAATCGGCAGAAACAACTGTGCCTTTCTCGATTGTTATATCTCCAAGAGTTGTTGTCTCTTCACAAACTCGATTTACAACACTTAAAATTATTTAATTCATTTAAGGAATATTTTCTTACTGGTCCTTAATAATTTTTGTATCTTTAGCCCGATGAGATGAATCGTTTAATACTAAAGTTTAAAATATTTGGAAATCTGAAACAAGTTATGGCCATGCGCCTACTTGGCCGCGTCCCTACTTGGGCCGTACTCTATCTCCTCGACTTTAATTTTTCGGGAGAAACTACCAAAAACATTTTAAACGAGATTAAATTACAAAAATTCATTAATTTTTTGACCATCTACAAGGACCAATAAAAAATTCTTGACACCCTAAATACCAGGGATGTCACGAGAGTTATCCGAAACTGGACCCAAGAATTCTTTAAAGCCTGCCCCAACTTTTTTAGATTAATTTTAACTGTTTTAGTAGGAATATTGAGGGATTCAGATGAAGATTTAAGGTAAAATTCCTTATACCAGCGTAGTTTTTTAATAAAAAAACACTAACGCTGCAGCCATAGGGCATAGTCTTTGTGTTTCATAAAACACAGCATCAGCATATTTTAATTTAGCCAATTGTTCATAATTAATTATTTCCCCTTCTTCTAATCCACAAATTTCCTCAATTTCTTCAAATAAACGTTTCTGAACCTCGGGATAAAAAACCAAATTGTGTGCTATTAAACTTAGAGTATTTGCAGTTGTATCAAATCCAGTTAAGAGAAAAAGGAATAAATTCATAACAATTTCATCTATACTGTTACGACGTTCATTCTAAATTTTAAATATTAATTTTTTAGATAAATTTGAATAATTTTTGTAAAGAAAAGTGAGACTTTTACTAATAACTAGAGCCCGCATGGGAAGGGACCCCGTACGGGATTTTACGGGATCCCATCCTGGAATCCCTGGTTTTTAGCGACAAACGGGATTCCGGGATTTACGGGATTAATCCCTCGTGATCCCGTCTCGGTCGAATTTTGAAAACCCAATCCCGTTCCGGGATCCCGGGAATGCGATTTTCCGACCTCTAATAATAACCCAACCCAAAAATTCATCCAATCGGTCAAAATTGTTGGGCAAGGAACCGCGAGAAGCGGAAAGTCAAAGTTTAAGGGGCTGACCTAGACAGGCGTTAAAGACTAAAATTTAATAAAATAAAATTATAAATCAAAAATCTCTTCAAAAATATATGTAAAAATTCTTTAACCTTTTCCATTTCCTTTTATTTTCACGTTTATTCACCCCTTATTTTTATTTAACTTTTAATAATAATTTATTATTATTGCTTCCGCTACCTAATAAACTTTAAATTAATTTACCTAATTTCTTTTAACCTTTTCCACTTTTTCTGATCTATTAAATGTTCCACTATATTCTTTTAATTCTACTTTTTCGGCCTCAGATTCCAAAAAAAGGTCAATAAAATTGACCCATTTTTTATTATCTTCATTTTCTTCCTCATCTTCCTCTTCCCTTTCAATTTTCTTCATTTTCTCTTCTTTCCTTCTATTAACAGCTTCATAAATCTTTTCTATCAAGATCTGTCCTGGATCTCTTCTCAAATTTCCTGTAGCACCCAGAAAAGGACTGAGAACATTTAGTCCCAACCAGGGAAAGATATAAGAAAGATAATCAAAAATATTATTGTTAAACACTGTGAGAGTATCTCTTGATAATTGACAAAATTCTTTTGAATCTTTTTTACCCATAGCAAGTCTGTAGATTACATCGAAAGTTAATTCAGTGAAATAACTTTAAAAATAACGGAAGATTTTTAAAATAATTTTTTAGGCTTACTCGACTATATTTATGTGATTTCCAGGTAAATAAGTATGTTTTAATATTTTAATATTATTTTGTATTGTATCATCAATTATTGGCATTGCCTTAAAAATAAAATAAAAATTTTATAAAAATTTATTTTTAAATCAAAAGCTGGATGGGGAAGTGTAATTTATTGTAGGATATCTCAGTTAAAATTCGCTTAATAATTTTATGATGTTTGGATCTTTTTTTTAATTATCTTTCTATAGTAAAGCAGTTGGGCTATGGCTTTTCTCTCCTTTAGCTAGTGCTAAAGGTTAATCAGCAGCTGGGAGCGATCCAGCATCTTCAGTAGACCGGACTTGTTAACCATTACACCACGCCGTCTACTGCATAGCCTTAGGAATTAAATAGCTATATGCTTTACAGTATCATTTGCTAGATAATTTAATTTCCTACAAAAAAATCAAAATTTTCTACAATAGCAATCACAAGTTTGAATCAAAATACTAAATTATTATGTGATTTTTGAGAGTTTCGGTTATAATTAAATTTTTATTTCTCAATAAATTTTACAGAAAATTAAATTCTCTTATTAAATTATATAAAAATGGCTAAAAATACGAATTATTAAAGAAATAAAAAATTAAGAATTAACTAAAGAATTATAATTGTTTTTGATTATTTTAATTAGGAGAATAAAATAAAATAATTTCTTACTCTTTTTAAATTGAAAGTAGAAAAAGCTGGATTAGCAATATGCCGAAGACGCTTCCAACGTCTTCCTTTTGTTGCAAATAAATGTACCATACTATTAGTATTTACATTACCGATCATTGGGTTAACCTTTAAATTTAAAATTATTCAAATTTAAAATTATTTCAATAAAATTTCCATTAAAATGCTTAAAACTAGGGTGGGCACCGAACGCTCGTGGGCGGGTTTGCCGGGGTACGGGGTTTTCCAATTGTTTTGGGGCGTGGTTTGGGTCGGGGGAGTAAAATATGGTCGGGATACTGGTCGGGGTACAACTTTTCTTAAAACTCTAAAAAATAAGCTAAGTTAAGGTTTTTAACCTTATAGAGGGGGCTTTATTTTAATAAACAAGTGTTTATAGGTTTAGATTTGATAGAAAAAAATTTAGAATAAAAATTATCAAGCTTAAACAACTTGGAAAATGTTTTTAATTACAAACACTTTTTCAAATCAAAGCAGCTGAGCTATAGCTATTTCTCTCCTTCAGCTAGTGCAAAAGGTTAATAGGCGGCAGGGTGCGAACCAGCATCTTCATTAGACCGGACTGATCCATTACACCACGCCGCCTACTGCACAGCCTTAGGAATTAAATAGCTATATGCTTTACATTTGTTTAACAAAACTTACCATATGTCCATACATACTCTCAAATTTATCAAAAAGTAATTCTTTAACCATTTCTGGTTCACTAATAACCAACGTATTAAACCATCCATTTTTAATTCCATAAATCCTTCCATATTTTTTACTCCAATCAAATAATTGTAGAGATGACGGGTTTTTATTAAAAATTAAGTCTATATTTCCTTTCCAAGGAGAAGGTTCAGGACCGGGAATTCCTCTATTTTTCCAGTAATTATTTTTTCTTATTGCAGTCCAAAATAGAAAAAAGGCTGAGATTATTAAAATTAATAGCATTTTTATAAATTTTTTTGGCACACTCGACTTAAATTAATTTAAATAAATATTTATTTTCTTCTGAAAAAATTTTAAGAAATTTTTTTAATATGGAGATAGAATATTATTAGAAATTATTAATATTTTAAGGTTATTATTAAGTAGATTCTGATTAGGTATATTTCCATAAACAACACTCAGATTACCACTCCCTCTCTCTCTTTGCTAGTAGAGGGAGGTATCTTCTTATTTATTCAAAAGTTTTGATAATCACGTTAGAAAAAGATTTAGATATTAAAGGCTTGCAAAAGTAGAGACCGGATCGAGACGAAATCTCGATCGAGAATCTCGATTGCTCGGTTATCGAGATTTATTACGACTCTCCCAGTCCGGTCTCTATTCAAAAGATGAAGATAATTTTCGGACAGTTTGATAAACTCAAAATTTTTTTCAACAAATTTAGACTTTAACTGAAAGATATAAGGGTATTTTTTAGATAATTTAAATGTAAACAAAATAACTGATCATTTAAAGAGAGAGAAATGCTTTTTTCCTCTCTCATTAAATAGCGCCAATATCTTGAACATGTTCATGATCGTTAAACATTTTAATTAATTTATTTATGTAATTTATTATTGTAGGAATAATTTTAACATCGAGAACATAAAAAGTTGGGGGAGAAGAAATAAATTATATAAAAAATGTTGAAATTTTATCTTACAAGCTGGAGGGGGGTAGTTTGGACGTTTGGACATTTATGGCTCCATAAAATTTTGCATGGACATAAATAATTGATGGCCCTTCTAGAGAAGTTTAATAACACCTCAAAACCCCCTCTATTCCTTGAACGCCCAATACTCCCCTCTGACCCAAAACTTTAATTGGAATTTTAAATATCAGAGATTAGAAATGTTTAAACACTAAGTGTCCAAAACAGAAATTTTGCAACAACCCCCTTGTAATAAAGCACCGGCCAAGATTATTCATTTTATTAGAAAATAGGTTTAAATTTTAATTTATTATAGGCAATAAAGCAGAAAAAAAGATTTTTAAAAAAGTAAAATGATCTCACAAAGAAAATAGACGGAAAAGAGTTTAAAAATCAAGAAAATATTTTTTGTTTAAAGTTCCACACCTTCACCAAAAATTTAAGAAAATGGTCAAGAGCTAGAGGGAATTAGGGGAAAGGAAAGGAGCAGGCAAGACTGGGAATTCCCAGAATAAATTCTGAATTTAAATGAAAGGCAATACCTATTTGAAATTATGTTATCTTTTGAATTAATGGAAATATTTGTAACAGGGATCGCCCCGACACGATTCACGATTCACGAAAATCTTTAATTCCCGACGATTTTAGGCTCATGAATTCACGATTCACAAAAATCGCGAATTTGATTTTCTGTCGAGCGATCCCTGGTTTGTAATATTGAAGGATATCGGAACTACTTTGTTCAAACTACCCAAAAACTATTAACATGAGTATATATTAGAGACCGGATCGATACGATATATCGATGGAAAATATCGATATATCGATGTCGATATTATCGATAATCGATACCGATATTATCGAACGAAAAATTTTTTGATTTTTTCGATATTTTTCGATATCGATACCGATATTATCGAACGATAAATTTTCGATATTTTTCGATACTAATTTCTTTTAAATTTTTGACCTTTACCCTTCAAAAAATCAAAAATTTTCGCCTGCGGCGCTGGAAATGGAAGGATGGAATATGTTATCATGGACGGGTCTCATTATATCCAAGTAAAAAAATCAAGATGGCCTAGATCAAGGCAGAGAACATTTTTGGCCTAACTGCACTTTATGGGTCTGAGCTAATATGGATGATTTATATGTCCCCCGACATTGGTAAAACTTCCCCCTTTGTTGGAACAACTTCCCCCGTTCTTGGAATAACTTAGCCCGTCACTGAGTTAACATCCCCCGTCATTGGTACAACTTCCCACGACATTGGGACAACTTCCCCATCATTGGTACAACTTCGCCCTTTATTGGAACAACTTCCCCCGTCGGGGAAAAATATCGAAAAAAATATCGAAAAGTTATCGATATTTTTCGATATCGATACCGATATTATCGTACGATCACTAAAGTCCGGTCTCTAGTATATATCCATGCTTTAGGAAAAAAATTTTTGGGGATGGGAAAGGTGATAATAATAACTCAAAGGAGATATTATACACAACTAACTCAGAGCAACACAAATTGTGCTTGATCCAATTTTTGATTTTTATTTATTTTACTTTAACACAGATCATGATTAATTGTTTATTCAAAGTTTTATTCTCTCTAATTATTTTGTCCATAAATCCTAAATAGCCCCATTTAAATTTATTTTTAATTTTATAGTCTACCAATTTTTTGTCTTAATAAATTTTTTCAAAATTATTTATTTGTTGATTTAAAAAAATTTAAACAAAATTACCTGATAAAAACACAAAAATTTATTTTTTTATTGCTTTTTTATTGGCCAAATATCTAAAGAACTTTTAATTTTTTTCGGAAGCCTCCAAGTGATTTATGATTAAAATATTTTATAGAAGGTTTGCACATTATTTCTCAATCTATTTTCGGTCTTTTCTTTTAAGTTGATCAAAATATCAATTTTAAAAAAATTAAAAGATTAATTAATTTATTTTTATATTTTAATTAGAGCGCGGAATTTCGTACCGTACCGTATTCCGTACCGTATTTTCTTTCACATTCTTTTCCGTATTCCGTACCGTATTTCAGAATTTTACCGTTCCGTAAAACGGTACGGAATACCGAAAAATACCGATACCGAAAAATACCGATAAAAATTTATCGGTATTCCGTACCGTATTTGAAAAAATTATAAAATTTAATAAACAATAATTGTATTCATATATAAATCTTTAGAGACAAAGAATATATCTTGGATTTAAAATATAAAGATAGATTTGGAGGGATATCTGGGGATTTAAAGGGATATCGGTGGATTTGTGGGGATTAAGTGATTTTAATTATAGACAGGGATTGAAAAAAATTTCTTAATACGTAGACTTGAACGTAAGCCCTATTAAATCCACTTAATCCCCACAAATCCACTTATTCATTACAAATCATTAGATACCTTTGGTAATCCACTAAATCCATTCTTAATTACTACTATTTCCTCTATATCCCTTCATTTAAATCAATATTCTCAGCGCCGCAGGCGAAAATTATAAGAAATTTGAAGTCCAAGAAGGTTAATTTCTTCTATTTTTAGCGCCGCAGGCGAAAATTTTGAAAATTATCAAAGGATAAGAAGACTTTTTTCCCTTAAAATAAAATAATAATTTAAAATTTTTATCGGTCGGTATTATCGGTATTTTAGTTTTTGCCGTACCGTAGAACGGTACGGAATACCGAAAAATACCGATACCGAAAAATACCGATCAATTTTAAAATTTTACCGTACCGTATTCCGTACCGTATTACCGATACGGAATACCGATAAATACCGAAAAATACGGCCGTAGTACGGTACGGTCCGAGCTCTAATTTTAATTAAGAAAGGAGAGAACGGGGGCATGGAAAGTTCAATTTTAATTTTAACATTTTCAAGGTAAACAAAAATATAAATTTTAGATTGTTAAAAGATATCACCATTCCATCCATATATGTATCAAAAAATCTGATCCGTTTCATTCACAAATACTTCTAGGTATTTTGTCAGGAAAAATTAAATCCTGTGAGTGTACATAATAATTAAATCTGAGGAATGAAAGTTGGTAGACAGACAGATTATACCCTACTTTAGTTTTGAATGGTACCGTTTTTGCTGAATAGTACCGTTAATTGAGTTATAACCCCCAAAATTTTAAGATCCCCCTACAGTTTTCTTTTCCATATATTAAAAAAAAATATTCTCTAGATATTTTTTGTTAAATTATTAAATTAATTTATAATTAATTTTGCTTTTTATTAGAAATAAAATAATTATTTTTTAAATATTTATTTTTAAAAAGAGGGACGACAAAAATTTTTTTAATAATAATCCTTCCTTTTATTTAAAAAAATAAAATCTTTTGTTTCATTTTACTCACAATTTTAATCCTTTAAATTCTACAAATTATTAACAGTTTTACTAAATGTCCTTTCTAATATTTTTAAATAATAAAAATAAATATTTATTTTACACCTTTATTTTGTTAAATTTAATTAAAAATTTTTCTAATCAAATTTGAGCTTTTTTACCTTTTATTTTTTTCTTTTTAATATTTCGTTTACATGGAGACATCAATTATTTTTTTATATTAAAGGCAAAAAAGTATATAGATAAATATGTATCGTATTCATTGAAGCGCAAACAATTTTGTTTATATTTTTTAAAAACAATTTTTTATTGTTTTTAAGTTATTTTTGTTTGGTTGTTAACAATAGTACATATTAACCTTTACTCCTTCAATAATTAATTTTTTAAAAAATACTTAACTCATTGCCCTGAAATTTTGTTTGGAAATTAAAATTGTAAGGATGATTCACCTAGAAGCATTTTAAACGCTTAGGTGGGGGTTAACCGAACTAAAGGGATAAAAGAGGATTAGTCGATGCCCCGGTAGTCAGCAGTAGAGCTCCTGTACATGGTAAGCGAAAGCGCCTAGCAATAACTGTCAGGAGGTAGCATGTTCGAATCCTGCCCTTTGCCTAAACTTTTGCTAAACTCTTTCTCAATATATTTATTTAGCTTCTCTAAAAATTTAATAATTTTTAGTTTATTATTTTTATTTTTATGGGCAAAAAACTACCAAAGATAGGCATTTCCTTTGATAACCTTCAGAATTTATTTTATATTTTCTAAAATAATTAATCAAAAATTCTGAAATTTTCAGAGAAGTTAAATAACGTTTTTAAGAATATTTTTGCAAAATTTCACAATTTTATCTTCCCTTTAAACAATTTTATAGGCTTTAACGCCGTAACTTTGTCGCGCCGAAACGTCCAAATTCAGAATATTTTTAGGTTAAAATTAAATGAAAATTCCTTCAATTCTGATAAAAATTCTGATTTTATTTAATTTATTAATTTTTAATATTTTTTGTTTAAATTGTTTTGATTCTCAATCGCCTATACCTATCAGAGTAACAGAATGTAAACTTGAAGAAGTTTGTTATGTTGAATATTATTCGTTAAAAACAACATTTAATAGTTCTCAACTTGCTCATTATTTTGACCGTTTTTGTGTTAATAGACGTAAGAAAATTAAAATAAAAATATTTTTATTTTTATGTGTGGTCTTGAACATTAATAAATTTAAAAAAGAGAGATTCCCCCCTTAATTCCCCCCCCCCCTCTAATTTACCCAAAAAAATATTTTTTATCATACCGACCAACTATATGTAATTAAAAATAATTTTTTATTAAGTAAAGGAACACCCTTTTAAATATCTTGTACTAACAGTTCTCCTTTAATTCTTTAATTTATTTATTTAATGTTTAAATAAATATATTCGAGACAATAAATTTAAATACAAAAACACATTCTTTATTTAATAAACAAAAAATTAAAATTTTTTGGTTAATTCTTTAGTCTATTTAATAATTTATTACTTTTTATTTCTCTATACTTTAAAGTTTAGTGATGTTCAAAAGTATAAGCGCACTTGAAAAAATGGGGGTAACTTGAGATTGGAGATCGGACTAAACAAATATTTGACGTCGGAAATCAAATATTTGATCAAATTTTATTTTATTTGATCAAATATTTGTTAAATCAAATTTGAAAAACGTTAAATATTTTCAAATATCAAATTATTTGATTTGATTTTGCCGCTTGTCCGATCTTTACCAGGGATTGAATTGTCCAAATATTATCAAATTTTTCATTAAAATAAAAAATTAAATTAGAATCATGAGAATATTTAAAGTTTTGGAATTATTCAATTTTTCTCGATTTCTCGATTTTCCCTTCTTTTTTGGGGAAAATATTTATAGAATTCTAAATATTTCTGAAATTCTTCTAAAAATCTTAATTCCAGAAAACAATTTAATTATATATAATCGTGAACATACATAATTCTGAAACTTTTTTAAAAAAAAATTAATTTTAAGAATTATCCAGAAAATAATTAAGAATTACCAATTAAATTTTACCTATGTACATATCGGGGGTGCCGATAGTTCCACAAAATACAAGGCACGGGATTCAAGAGTTAAGAGATTCTCAAAAAAATACGAGACTTGACGAGATATGAGACTAACGCCACTCCCGCTACCTTATTAATTCCCTAATCAAAATTTAAAATTTAATAAAATTTATATTTTTATACAAAGGGCAGTGTACAGATAGAGGAATATGGCCAGAATACAAGCCTTGCATTAATTTATCACAATTAGACAAAATTGTTGCAAAAACATTTGAAAGAAAATTACTTTCAGAAAGGCTGGATCCTACTAAAATTGTTTTTACACATTTTTGTTGTTGTTCAGATTTTGATAAATGTAATGAATTTGGGCCTGACAAAGTTGGAAAATTTTATTTAAAATTTAAGAAGACTGAAAAATAAATAATCTTAAATTAAATTATCGAGTTTTACAAATTAATGAAAATTGAGAACTTTTTAATTTTGAAATATTTCCGTAAAAAGAGACGAATAATGATAATTTAATAAAAGAGGCGGTCACAGTTTTCAGCCGAAAACATATAAAAAAATAAAATTTGAGTAAATGGACACGAAATAAAAAACATTTAAGATTAGATTACTAGAGATTAGGAGATCAATTCCTTTTGTAATATCACTATTAGGTCCGGGGTCTAACTTATTTCTAACTATTTATTTTAATTCTCCGAATACGTATATTCGGGTTTCCAATTTATATTTTTAAATCACTTTTATTTTAAGGTTTATTTAAAACAAGTTTATTTAAAACAAATAAATAATTTTCAAGTTACGTTCAAAAGAAGGTAAAATTGTGGGGAATTAGATAAGTATTTATAGGAAGGAAAAAGGCGGAAAACAAATATATATGGTTGAAAGTTTAAGTTTAAATTATTAATGATAAGAAGCGGTTTGGGTTGAAGAGACAAAGAAGGAAATGGGAAGTATATAAAAATAAGCTAAGAGGAAAAATAATATTTAAATAAATAAAGGAGATTAAATATAAGGATGGGAAAAGGGAAAATTACAAAATAAATATTTTCAACCAAAATTCAAATGTCAATACACAACACTCCTCCCTCCTTCAAATTAGTGCAGCAACGGCATAGGTAGTCTTGATCCTCCACCTCCAAATCCGCTACAGCCAGAACGGTTTGGGCTTCATATAATATTTGGTTGCAACAAACTCCTTTCTAGGGCAAAGACAGTAAATTAAGAAAAGCCTCGCTTTCAGCGGATAAGTTTATTAGTTTTATTTAGTGAATTTACTCCAAAAGATGGGTTAATTTTTTTTAGTGTATTTTAGTTAAAATAACTTTACTTTTATCAGATTAATCTCGCAAAGAGATCATAAACATTTATATTAGTTTTAAAGGATCCATAGTTAAAAAATTTTCTTTTAAATTTCAAAGTGGAGTCTTTTTATTCCATTCTCTCCATCCGTTGGAGGAAAATTTTCATAATTGGTGTTGTTATTAGCCAAAACTGCCGCTGTCCTTTTCCATGTAATAAACATTTCCATCAGAGCCATTTGAAGTAGAAATTGAAGATAAATTTAATCATGTTGAATTAGAAAAATAAACATACAAAAAAATATACACAAGCAGTAATTAAAAATTAAAATTTAGAGACATGGGGAGAAATACATATTAAATAAACGAAGAAAATATTAATAAATATTTGTTAAATTATTCTCATCCTAAAAGGATGATATAGTTCTGAGTCCGCTAATCCCGGACTCGATGTCCACTATCTTATCTTCAGCAATTTTATTTTCATTTTCTGTATTATTTGATTTCTCTTCACCAGAATTTTTAGAAGGCCAGCGCTGAGATATCGGTAGATTTGTATTTTCTGTTAATTTTTCTTTCATTTTTGAACCAAAAATGCCTAATCTTTTATACATTTTACTTTTAACACATTTAAATACTGTCGCCGGTGCTTTGTAATCTAATGTATTTGCTCTGTCCACGTACAGGTTTAGGGGTATCGGTGACTCGAATTGTTGCCAAGAATAACAGGTCGGCGCATCCGGAAACTTCCAAAGCGATGTTGGGGCATTACACATCGGATTCTGAGCGCTTGCACTGCAAAACACTGATATAATAGCAATAAACGCAAATAGTAGTGGGCTCACAACTCTAACATTTGGGCTTGATCTGCGGTGGAATCCAACGCGCAGTGCTGATCTATGTTCAGAAGACCTACTACTTTCTCTCGAGCTTGACTTTTCTCGGCGATTTTGATGACTACTGTAATTCCTGTAATTATCATTTCTATAATTATCATTTATCGGTGACTGCCTATTATGGTAATTCCATGAATTATTTTCCTCAAGACGATTCGTGGAATATCCTTTATTATTTCTATATCCTCCATTATAATTTTGCCTTGGTCTACTATCATAATTCCTATAACCGTAATTTGCTCTAGAATTATAGCTCCATTGTCTTTCACTTTCTCCATTATAATTTCTTGGGTTTTGTGGGCAATAACGAGCAATATGGCCTTGCTTTCTACAACTATAGCAGGTAACAAACTCATGTTTATTTTTAGGTACTACAAGAGCATCAACTGCCAACTCCGACATTGAAATATTCACGGCAGGTTTTCTAGCACTCAATAATAACTCAAAATGCTGTGCTTGTTCATAAGCCATACCATATTCAGTGGGCCTATGTGACTTAACCTGGAACTGCAATTCAGGAACTAGTCGATCTAAAAATTCTTCCAATAGTCTTTTCTGTATTGTCTCTTCATTTTCTCCGCTAAGCGCAGTTCGAACGGCTTCATTTAACCTATTCGAAAAGTCAAAAACGGGTTCTCCGGGGGCCTGCTTACAAATAGATAAAGCTTGTCGGGCAATAATTTTTGTGTTCCCGTTTTCGTATCGACCTTTTAAAATCAAAATAGCCGCTTCTAAAGTTAATGGAGCGGGATTTATTCCATCATATACTGCTCTAGCTTGGCCATTTAAACAAAATCTCAATCGAGCTAGTTTCTGTTCTTCTGTAAGCGGAGTGGTAATTAAGCTTAAAATATCCTTAAACTTTTCTATCCATTTAGAAAACGAAACTGATGGATTTCCGTCATATCCAGAGATGAAACTTCCTCCATTAAGAAATGGGTCTCCCATTTTAATTTCTGGCTCCAAAGTATTATCTAAATCAACCTCCTCATTTATTTCAGTTTCATCCTCAGATTCGTTTTGGGTTACGGCTAAACTCATTTTTTCTTTAAAATTATTTTCCAAATTTTTCAACGAATTACGCAGTTTTGTAATGGAACCTTTAGTTCCAGATAAATTATTTTTATTAGTTTTAACATTCTCCTCTATTGTATCAATTCTTTGTTCAAGATGACGGAACGAATGTGCGACAGTTTTTTCAAAAGCTCTCAAACGAGTCAAAATCGTTTGGAAGTTATTTCTCTCTGTAGGGGTGAAAAACTCAGGATCAAAATCGGATCCGGCCATTTAAACAATTTAAATAAAATTCAAAAAAAGATTTAAAATTTACTAAAAAAACAAAACAATTTAAATTAACAGAAAATAAATTTTCAATTTTTCGTCAGCACACAGCTCAGACGATTTAAATTTACTTCGGTTTGCCCGCACACAGCTCAGGACACCGGATATTTCTTTCAAAAGGTTCGCCCGCACACAGCTCAGGACACCCAAATTTATTTTCTTCACAAAAAGGCTAGCCCGCACACAGCACAGGACACCTTATAAAATTTCTCCTTTTTACAGGGTTCGCCCGCACACAGCTCAGGACACCCGAAAATATATTTTTTAAAGTGCACTATAGGGGTCCGCACACAGCTCAGAACTCCCTTTTATTTTCAAAAAGATGATCCGCACACAGCCCAGATCAACAAACTAAAATTTGAGTCGACTAAGCTCGAATCCTAAAAATATTTTTAAAAAATTTTAGCTTAAGCTTTCGCTTAGCTCCTCCACAACTATGTGTGGGGTAGGAAGAGGCAATCTAATGGCCAGTTAGAATTACTCTCTCCCTTCCCTTTGGTCGTGGCACCAGTATTAGGTCCGGGGTCTAACTTATTTCTAACTATTTATTTTAATTCTCCGAATACGTATATTCGGATTTCCAATTTATATTTTTAAATCACTTTTATTTTAAGGTTTATTTAAAACAAGTTTATTTAAAACAAATAAATAATTTTCAAGTTACGTTCAAAAGAAGGTAAAATTGTGGGGAATTAGATAAGTATTTATAGGAAGGAAAAAGGCGGAAAACAAATATATATGGTTGAAAGTTTAAGTTTAAATTATTAATGATAAGAAGCGGTTTGGGTTGAAGAGACAAAGAAGGAAATGGGAAGTATATAAAAATAAGCTAAGAGGAAAAATAATATTTAAATAAATAAAGGAGATTAAATATAAGGATGGGAAAAGGGAAAATTACAAAATAAATATTTTCAACCAAAATTCAAATGTCAATACACAACAATCACAAATGGTTTTCGGTAATATTTTGGGGAAGCAAGAAAAATAAGTTTGAATAACCTAATAAATAGACCCTCCTTTTCAAGTAAATTCTAAAAAAATCCATTTTAATTTCAAGTTACTTTCATTATTCAACATTACAACCTCAGAACAACCAGGAAATTATAGACATAATAAAGTTTTTTCTGACGGTAGACGGCAAGAAAATAATAAAAGAAGGTGGTACAATGGAAGTGATAGAAAAATTATAAATTTATTTAATTATTTATTGTTTCAATTTATTATTTTAATATTTTTTTGTTAAATATTTATTTTAATTAATATGTATATTTATAAACTTTGTAAAATTTTTAATTGTTTATTAAATTAAAAGTTATTCGAACATAAAAATTATAACCACTGAAATTGACCGGTACATTGTTTATAATTTGAAGAAATCTTAAAATAAAATTCTACAAAATTTCTGTGGATATTGTGTAGAAAAACAAAAAAACTAGATCATCATTGAGATCTTAAATCCTAAAAATCAAAGGGAAACATGGAGCTAAGTTACTTCGAAAAAAATTTTAATCCCCTTAGAGCTTATATAAAAATTTTCTTTCGGGCTCATTTGAAAGCCCATAAAACCAATTTTTTGGACTAATCTAGGTTTTCTTGCTGATTTTTCTTAAATTTTGATCAAATTTGAATATTTATTTTTCTATATAAAATGGAAATAATAATAATTAAAACTTTATGCAAAAAACTGATAATTTAACATGAATTTGAGGTGTCGTATAAATGAGATTTGATTGCACATACTCCCGAGGATTTTATCCAATCTTTGGAATTTATTGTGGATTTACTTGTGAACGATTAAAAATAGCATTTCGATATGGGGTGTTTGTTAAAATACAAATAATTGGGTTAAATACAGGTGTTAAATGATAGAAAATGCAAATTAATATTCGAATAATATTTGTTGTATTGTTGTTAGTTTTTGAATAAATTGTAAAAAATAAAGTTCCAGCTTGGTTAATAAACGGTACAACAGCCTTTTTAAAATAAAAAAATTTTAATATTAAAGGAAAAGGGCAAAGGTGTTATTTATTAGTCCTAATCAGGCCCAATCAAAATGGTGGTGACATCAGGTACCTACCAAGTCTCGTATTTTGCTACGAGACACTTTCCATATTATGTTAGTTCTGAATAGGCAAAACTGATTCTGGGTGTATTCTAAAACGCTTAAAATAATACATAGATGATTAATAGATGATTTGCATCTATTTTAGGAAAAATGTTAAATTTTGGGACATTTAAGATTGAAGGTAGCTCTATCTATATTCTAATGTCATGCGTCGGCTTCGTGTCTGAAATAAGTGTGAATAAATTTAATGTGATTAATGATATTTAATAATATTAATTTAATGATACATATTTCGTGTCTGAAATAAATTTAACCGGATGATAATTCCGGATAAAACAATTCAATCATTGTTCACAGTGACATTTAAAAATATTAATTTTTTTAATCTCTGACAAAAAGGTCTGGGACATACAGGTCTGGGGCCTAAAGGTATCACAGAGCTATCATTTGTGTGCCTACAAAAAATTGAGGTGACACTAGTACCAAAAACGTACCAAACTAATCAAAACTTTAGCTAAAAGTTTATTCAATCTTTTTAAATCTCCATCAAGATTAGTGTTTAAATTGACATATCTAACCATTTTAAATCCACAAAAAAATATTATTAAATATGCAGAGATTTCAGTTAGTACTACAGGTAATTGTGACAACGCATTGATCTAGATTTTAAGCAAATTAAAATTTATTTTTAAATTAACCGTTTCCATTTTAAATTGAATAAACGGCAATGTTCTGTTGATATTATCAAAATATTTAATACTTCCATTAAAATATGGAAATAAAAAGAAAATTAAATCCAAAACATAAATAATTGCACAAACAGTGCAATGGACAACATAAATAGATAACGACAAAAGCTAATCTTCATATTTCTAAAACAATAGTAAGGGTTTAGCAAGAGTTTAGACACATGGTAAAGGATATTATGGGTGTGTATCAGGGATGCCAAGGGTTAAGATTTTCGAGAAATTGTGAGAATTAACAGGAGCAAAGCGAAATGCGAAAATCTTGAGTAGTTTGGAAGCCCAAAAAGTCTAAATAAAAGCAAAGTGTTGGTTATCTCATACATTATACTAAAGTTTTTAATTATTTTTTATTTATTTACCTATTCAAAACTAAATATCTATAAATAAATTGAACACACAATCCATGTAAATTTAAATCATGAATATATAGCCAAAGTAAAATAACAATATAACATATAAACGGATCAAAATTTTCTTTCATAAAATCAAGCAAAATTCCATTAGGTAAAATAACAATTGTATTCCCTTCCCCATCAAGTATATAATACACTGCGACGCAAAATTATACGTCCACCCCTTTTTTCGAAATTTTTTTCATTTGTATTGATCAGAATTTTCTGAAAATTTTTATACACACCCTTTAGTGAATAACTAACAAGATGTATATGGTTTTTTGCCAAAATTTTTATTTTAAAAATTTTTAGACCAAAATTTGTGTTTTCGGCCTACGCAAAATTATACGTCCACTTTTCAAAAAAGTTAGTTCCAATAATAGGAAAAATCTACAAAAATTCCAGTAAGCTCATATATTGATATTAATAAAAAATAAAAATAAAGTAGGTCAATATCTATACCCTAAGCCGAGATCCTGAGACCTCGAAAATCAACGTAAAATGGGGTTTTTCAACTTTAAAAAATATTTTCGACCCCTTATGGATTACTGTAAATTTTGATTTTGGGCTCATTCGAAAGCCCTTGAAATTTGCTACAAGTCAGTATCAAACATATTTTTCAGAAAAAATTTTAAAGAGAGATACAGGCATTTAAACTTCTGATGCAGAAAAAACGCCTAAATGCCCCATGAAATTCCCCTTAATGTCGCTTCTGAAGTTTAGATGCCTGTATCTCTCTCTAAAATTTTTTCTGAAAAATATGATTGATGCTGTCTTATAGCAAATTTCAAGAGCTTTCGAATGAGCCAAAAATCAAAATTTACAGTAGTCCATAAGGGGTCGAAAATATTTTTTAAAGTTGAAA